GGCCCGCACACCGATCCCTCCCATTCCTTCTCTCAGTCCACCCTCTGCTGGGTTATGCTGGGTCAGACAGCAGCAGTTTTGGCAGTAAGTAAAGGGACTGGGTTGAGAGAAAAGGGTGGGGAGTGACTGTCGTGAAAGACGGGGCTACATAAGGGCTGCAGAGGCCGGCTCCAGAGTTCTGGCAAGGGTGAAAAAGAGCATCTGAGATATGCAGATCAGATACTAGAGAAGGTGCTGGGCTGCTCTGGGGTTTGTGTGGATGGGCATGGGACTGCTTTAAGGCCAGGAAAATGGAAAAAGGAGGGATTGACCGAGAAAGGGTGAAGAGGTGCAGCTTTCAAAGGAAGACCCTCAAATGGGTCTGAGTCATTTCTATTAAGGGGAACAGAACCTCTCCTTGCCTTCCTGCTCTCAATTACCAACACATATTAAAGGACAATTACATTCCTTGTTATATATGAGGTGTGGGGTGGGAACTGCAGAGAGAAGGGTCCAGAATAGGGGAGATCATTGGGCTAAGCTCAAGAATGAGTCAGGAAGCAGCTTTGGTAATGGAAGCCAGACCTTTGGCTCCCTCCGGGGCTCCTGGAACCTGATCCAAGGATGGGCTGAGCTAAGGGAGTGGTGAGTGATGTTAATGTTAACATAGGACTAGGAACTTCTTAGCCCCTCGTTTTCTCAATCTCCCTCCCTAAAACGCCACAAACTATTACCCCAACAATCCCAAGTCTTCTAATTTTTCTTGAGTTCATAGATTTTTTCCTCAAAGTAGCTCTAATCCTAATGTTCCCTTTATTCCTCCTGGACTCTCTAACGGGACGTCAGTAGGGACTTATTATTCTCGCTTCAATTTCCCCCATTCCCCAGGCTTCCAACATAGGAGTAGTGGGTGAAAGTGGGTGAAACGTGGTGGGCCATGACTGGGTTCACACTATGTTTGTGAATGCCTTCAATCTGGAACTTTGCTTCTGATTCAGTTTCCCTTTTTTGGTAACATTAATTTATTAAACAGATATTTAAAGAGTCTACAATTTGTCAGGCACTGGGGACAGAGTAGGAGCAGCACAGAAAAGGTTCTTATCCTTTGGAGCTTGTGTGTGGATAAGATTCAGGTGCCCCGGTTCCGTCATGCTGTAGGGATGCTAGAACTTACAACCTCAAATTAACTTTTTGCCAATTTATTTTTTTTCTCTTTCAATAACTTCGGTAACCTCAAATTAATTTTTTTTTTTTTTTTGAGATGGAGTCTTGCTCTATCACCCAGGCTGGAGTGCAGTGGTGTGATCTTGGCTCACTGTAACCTCTGCCTCCTGGGTTCAAGGGATTCTTCCACCTCAGCCTCCCACGTAGCTGGGACTACAGTCATGCCCTAGCACGGCTGGCTAATTTTTGTATTTTTAGTAGAGATGGGTTCTCACCATGTTGACCAGGCTGGTCTTGAACTCCTGACCTCAAGCGATCTGCCCGCCTCAGCCTCCCAAAGTGTTGGGATTACAGGTGTGAGCCATCACACCTGACCTTCAAATTACCCTGTATTTTTTTCCTTTCGAGATGGAGTTTTGCTCTTGTTGCCCAGGCTGGAGTGCAATGGCGCTATCTCAGCTCACTGCCACCTCCACCTCCCAGGTTGAAGCGATTCTCCCGCCTCAGCCTCCCAAGTAGCTGGGATTACAAGTGTGCACCACCACGCCCGGCTAATTTTGTATTTTTAGTAGAGATGGAGTTTCTCCACGTTGGTCAGGCTGGTCTCAAACTCCCAACCTCAGGTGATCTGCCTGCCTTGGCCCTCCAAAGTACTGGGATTATAGGCATGAGCCAACTCGACCAGCCCAAATTAACTTTTTTTTTTTTTTTGAGACCGAGTTTCGCTCTGGTTACCCACACTGGAGTGCAATGGCACCATCTCCGCTCACCACAACCTCTGCCTCCTGGGTTCAAGCAATTCTCCTGCCTCAGCCTCCCAAATAGCTGGGACTACAGGTGTGCACCACCATGCGCAGCTAATTTTTGTATTTTTATTAGAGACAGGGTTTCACCTTGTTGACCAGGACGGTCTCGATCTCTTGACCTCGTGAAACACCCGCCTTGGCCTCCCAAAGTGCTGGGATTATAGGTGTAAGCCACCGCGCCCAGCCCCCAAATTAACTTTTAAAGGAGATTCCTCCTTCATGAAATCACTAGAACTCAAGGTGAGGTTTTCTCTTAAATTTTTACAGATTTATTGATGTACAATTGATATACGTTCATATGTCTCTCCATGTAAAATGCATGTATTTGAAGTATACAATTTGATGTGTTGTCATACGTATATACACCCACAAAACCATCACACAATCAAGATAATGAACATACCCATCACTTCTGAAAGATCCCCCCTTCATCTCTTTATAAAATCTTCCCTACCTTCCTCACCCTGAAAATTCTCAAAAATACAAACTATGGTAACTTTTGACCTAGAGGACTGAACAGAACAACAGCAAAAAAGAGCCCAGGGCTTGATGAAGACTCAGGTGTTGGAGGCGAGCAGCTGGAATTTAGAGCTACTTGAGCCTAAGTTTAGCCTGAAGCGCTCACCAATTTTAGTAGCAAAGCAGCAAGGAAAGAACCTGAGTGTTAGGAGAGGGTGGCACCTTCCCTAGGGACAAAAACCACAAGGTAGTTGGGCCTAGTTCCAGTTCAACAGGTGTCTGGGAATATTGGTAGGGTGACACCTTCAATCTTTGGCCTGGGTGGGGTCTTCTGAGGAGGATTATACCGAAGGCTTAAGCAAAATAAAGGAATTCTTTCTATTTACTAAAGCACTTTTTTTGGTATGCTGATTATAGGTTTTTGTTTTGTTTTGTTTTTTGAGACGGAGTCTCGCTCTCTATCGCCAGGCTGGGGTGCAGTGGTGCCTTCTCGGCTCAGTGCAACCTCCGAATCCATGGTTCAAGCGATTCTCCTGCCTCGGCCTCCGGAGTAGCTGGGATTACAGGCACGTGTGCCCAGCTAATTTTTGTATTTTTAGTAGCGACGGGGTTTCACCGTTTTGGTCAGGATGGTCTTGATCTTCTGACCTCGTGATCCGCCCGCCTCGGCCTCCCAAAGTGCTGGGATTACAGATGTGAGCCACCTCGCCCCGCCCGCTGATTGATTATAGGTTTAACTTGTCTTGTCTCTGCTGCTAGACTGTGAACTCCTGCAAAGCTTTTATGTCCTCAGCGCCTAATGATCCCTGATAAACACCCAAATATTTATTGAACAGATGCAGCCAACTATAAAATGTGTGAGGTTTTCAGTATATAGTACTGGTTAAGTTGGTATTTTCATGGATCCAGAAACAGATTTTTTTTTTTTTTTTTTTTTTTTTTTTTTTTTTTTTTTTTTTTTTTTTTTTTTTGAGATGGAGTTTTACTCTTGTTGCCCAGGCTGGAGTGCAATGGCCGGATCTCAGCTCACTGCAACCTCTGCCCTCCGCCTCATGGGTTCAAGGAATTCTCCTGCCTCAGCCTCTCAAGTAGTTGGGATTACAAGCATGCACCACGACATCCAGCTAATTTCGTAGTTTTAGCAGAGACCGGATTTACCCATGTTGGTCAGGCTGGTCTTGAACTCCTGACCTCAGGTGATCCACCCGTCTCAGCCTCCTAAAGTGCTGGGATTACAGGCGTAAGCCACCGCGCCTGGCCCAGAAACATATTTAATCTGGGGTCTGCATATGAGTGATCAGCTTGGTTGGGATGGGGCCTCTGGAGGGTCCAAGGCTTTGGAGGAAGGAGAGTGGGTAGGTAGTTCAGAGAGGGTCAGAAAGATCCCTTTTGTGGGTAAGAAAACCTCCCCTCTGTTCATCTTCAGCTACACCAAAGGTATGAGGGCTCTGGTGGAGGTATTGTGCATGTGTAACTGGAGTAGTTACTGCTAGGTACGCTTTGGATTCAGTGGCCCAGGCTTTGCCCTAGGAAAGGACAGTTGTCTTTTCAAGGAAGACTGCTTTATACGGTCAGATACCTGGTTCACACCGCCTTAGCAGCAGCGTCCCCCCACCCCAATCCCATACATTAGCGTGAGAGATCACAGAGGGAGTGAGAATGATGGGATCCAAGAATCTCTTTTCTCCAGATCCGCTCACACCAGGAGTTAATCGCTCCAGCGCCGGGCTCCGAGTCCCTCCCTCTCTCGTCCGAGCTCCGCCCCGCTCCCCTCTCCGCGGTCCTGGCGGGCTTCCCCTGGAGGGGGCGGCCCCAGGCCGAGTGCTAGGCCGGGCGGAGCTCCGGCCCGGGCGGAGCCGCGGCCGCCGCGTCCGGCTCCGGACCGAACTTCTGCCGTGCGGACAGCAGCAGCGGCGCCGAGCCCCATGCCCCCACCTCTCCAGCCCGCCCTCTGAGCCTCCCGAGCCCTCTCTCCATTCCCCCCAGCTGTGCTGGTAAGTCCCGCTCCCCGCACCAAACTTTTCCGCTGCCGAGTTGAAGTCCTGCGATCGGCCCACGAGCTGCATTGTGGTTGGTGTGGGGGGGCGGAGAACGGAGCGTGGCCGTCTTGGACCGAATGCCGACTCCATGGCTTCCCTAAGACGCATCAGCGCTCGCCGATTTCCCGGGTTGGAAGAACTCTGGATTGTAGTTGCGTAAACTTTGTGTAGAGCTGGAGACGAGGGTTTGCGCTCCACCTTCGCTGCCCCCTCCCCCACTTCTCTCAGATCTAGCAGTTCCGGATACTTTCCCTCCATCTTTCAAGGATCTTTGGCTCCCTAAAAGCTCGTCCCCTCCCAACTCTGCTGTGGCAAAGGCCCCCTCCACCAGGCACTTCGGGCCCGCCTCCTTCTCCGTTGCCGTCGGGGACCCCGCGATCTTCGGGGCCTTAGGCTGCCTCGGAGGCCACCCGTCCTGCCAACCCGCCGCAGACGTGTAGCCGCTGGGTCCGCCGTGGAGGGAGGGGCTCAGGTTGGGGCTTGTCCGAAGCCCGGCGGGCGGGGCCGGGAAGGGGAGGTGTAGGGGGCCGGACGGGGCGGAGCAGGCGGCATTTGCGGCCGGCGCCGGGGTGGAGAGTTGTGCGCCGGTCCCTGGGCCTGAGCTCCGGCTCCGGCTGGGGCGCCTGCAATGTCTCAAGATGGCGGAGCTGGGCGAATTAAAGGTACCGGCCCCCTCCCCCACCCCCATCTGGCCTGAGCCCGGCGGTGCGCCGTGTCCGGGAAGCGACCGGGACTGGGTGCCGGGGCTCGGGTGGGCGCCAGCGACGTGGCAGGGGCGGGCGGCTGAGGATGGGAGAGAAGTGGCTGCGAGCGAGGAAGGGGCTGTGGCGGGCTCCGGGGGCGGGGCTGCGGGGCAGATGTAGGGGTGGGGCCGAGGGGAATTGCAGCTGCTGGGGGCTGAGGCGCAGGGGGCGGGGACGAGGGGCAGCAGGCGGATTTAGTAGCAGGGGCAGTTGTTGGGGTAGGGCCGGGGGCAAAAGCTGCTGTAGAGGCACCCGGGCGAGTCCATCGAGGCCGAGAGATGCGACAGCAGGGGGCAGATGCAGGGATGGCACCGTGGGGCAGATGTAGGGGAGGCTCCGAGGGAAAGGCAGCCGAGAGGATAGGGGCTTTGGGGGTGCTCTCGGGATCCGAGCTTTGGGAAAGACCAGTAGGCGGCTGAGATGTAGGGGGCGGGGCTGTGCGGGCCGACACCTCGAGGGGTGGGGCAGAAGCATCCTGGAGGCTCAGGAAGGTGCTGCCTTAGTGAATCGCGGTGTTTGGGCAGCGGCAGAGGCATGTGAAACTGTGGGATAGGAAGGAGGGAAGTTACAGGGAAAGCTAATGGAGAAAAAAAGACAGGACAGAGGAGATACGGATGGGGAGAAAGAGGAGCAAGTTTCTCATCACATTCCACAAAAGGGGCCCAAGACAAAGCCTCCTATGGGAAGAATTGTGTAGGACTAGCTTGCCCTGCCCACGACAGGATCTCCTGGAGAGTCACAGAAGGGAGTCCCCTTAGGAGAGCGCTCCCCTTCTGCCTCACAGTTTTCAGGGTAACCACATGGGAGGACATCTCATAGAACCTTAAACCACCGGGTTCATCCCCCTGCCTCCTGGCTTTCTTCTTCTGCCCTTTGAAATGGAGCTATGGTCCTGGGCAGGCTGGAGGTCTAGCCACTGGGCCCAGCTACCTTCAGGGAATTTGCGATTCTGTGCCCTGACTCAGAGGCTTTTTCTTCAGCCAGCCAGGGCCTCTGTTTAGAGCTCTGCGCTCTCCTCTTCTACTCCTATAGGGGGGCAGTAGGCTGTAGTGGGGTGTTATTTTCTCTATGTAGGAGAGAAGCTGGTTCCTGACAGAGAGTTGTCAGGCAGGATACCGGGACTCAGTGGTTTACTGTTAACCCCCTCCTACCCCCCACCCAGACCCAAGTTTTGGTCTTGTTTCCCTTCCAGAAAAATAGGACTAAGTCTCAGAGAGGGGGCGGTTATATAAATGATTCCCAGAAAGGATCTGGGGGAGTTATGAGCATTGAACCCTGACCTGAAAACCCTGGCCACAAAAGCTTCAGAGGCTTGGGGGAAATAGCCGAGGTGAATAAAGGTGGTTGAGGGGTGGGCTGAAGGGCACGATCCTCCAGCCACCTGGCCCCTTTCTTCCCCGTGGGTGAGTCTGGCTTGAATTGTCTCCTCTCCCTGGTTCTCCCTGTCTTCTGTCCTCTTCCCAGGAGGCTGGGATGGGTTTGAGAGTCTGAGAAAGGGCAAGAGAGAAGATAAGCAGCTTAAAGGAGAGTCCAGACTAGAGGCAGGAATGGTGGTGGGAGGCCGCAGTGGACTCGGAGGTGTGTCTGAGGGTGGCTTCTCGTCTGCATTCCCTGCCCCACTCTGGCTGCTTGCAGGCCTGGGAAGATAGTGTTGTTCAAGCTCTGGGTGATGGTGATGATGCTGACCTGAGGGTTGCTAAAGTGAGGCTGAGATGTCCCTTTGGATAGGTCGACTACCTGGCAGTAATCCACTAGCTTAAAGCATCGTCTTCCCCATCAGTGCTGGAGGGAAAAAGGCACTGCCCAACTGGTAGCTCAGCCCATGTCTTGGCAGGACAGGCCTGTGCGAGGTAGGGTTCTCAGGCTTCTGTGTTGTTCTCCACAGCACATGGTGATGAGTTTCCGGGTGTCTGAGCTCCAGGTGCTTCTTGGCTTTGCTGGCCGGAACAAGAGTGGACGGAAGCACGAGCTCCTGGCCAAGGCCCTGCACCTCCTGAAGTCCAGCTGTGCCCCTAGCGTCCAGATGAAGATCAAAGAGCTTTACCGACGACGCTTTCCCCGGAAGACCCTGGGACCCTCTGATCTCTCCCTGCTCTCTTTGCCCCCTGGCACCTCTCCTGTAGGCTCTCCTGGCCCTCTAGCTCCCATTCCCCCAACGTTCTTGGCCCCTGGCACCCTGCTGGGCCCCAAGCGTGAGGTGGACATGCACCCCCCTCTGCCCCAGCCTGTGCACCCTGATGTCACCATGAAACCATTGCCCTTCTATGAGGTCTACGGGGAGCTCATCCGGCCCACCACCCTTGGTACGGCTCTTTGTGGTCCCTTAGCCTTCTGGACTCCATGCCTGCTCCCTAAACATTTCAGAGGCTTTAGTCCTGTGGGATCAGTGGCATGGATGGGGGTGATTTCTGTGGCTGCCTGTGCATGGGCTTGGAATAACTGCCTTTTCATGTCCTCAGCATCCACTTCCAGCCAGCGGTTTGAGGAAGCACACTTTACCTTTGCCCTCACACCCCAGCAAGTGCAGCAGATTCTTACATCCAGGTACATTTCTTTCAGTCTTCCTGCCTCATCCCTGGAGGGTTACCCCTGGGCTCTCCTTTCTGACTTTATTCCCTCCTGCCCTGCTGTCTTCCCTGTCCATCCTCCTATTCCTACTTGTTCCTCGTTCTTTTGTGTGTCTCTTCTCTGTCCCCTGGACATCTAACTTTCAGTCTCTCTGTCTATTCACCCTGCCCTCTGGGGGCTACATGCTGACATCTCTTCATCTCCTTCCCCGTTACAGAGAGGTTCTGCCAGGAGCCAAATGTGATTATACCATACAGGTGCAGCTAAGGTGAGTTCAGCCGCCCTCCCTATGCTGGGGACCCACTGGGGGTAGGACTGAAGTAGGGGTATGACAGATACTCTTATGAGATGTCCCTGCTCTGCCACTGTCTACTCTGGCCCTGGGACTCTTGTTGGATGCTGAGGGCTATAGACATCTATGACTGATTTTCTGGGGTTCCCTGTCTCTCTGCCAGATTGAACTAAAGAAATCTGCTGGGCATGGTGGCTCATGCCTATAATCTCAGCACTTTGGGAGGCTGAGGCAGGCAGATCGCCTGAGGTTAGGAGTTCAAGACCAGCCTGACCAACATGGAGAAACCCCGCCTCTACTAAAAATACAAAATTAGCCGGGTGTGGTGGTGCACACCTGTAATCCCAGCTACTCAGGAGGCTAAGGCAGGAGAATCGCTTGAACCTGGGAGGCAGAGGTTGTGGTGAGCCAAGATTGCACCATTGCACTCCAGCCTGGGCAACAAGAGCGAAACTCCGTCTTCAGAAAAAAAAAACAAGGAAAGAAATTTCTTCCCAGTCTTTCTTACTTTTTCATCTCTCACCAGGTTCTGTCTCTGTGAGACCAGCTGCCCCCAGGAAGATTATTTTCCCCCGAACCTCTTTGTCAAGGTCAATGGGAAACTGTGCCCCCTGCCGGTAAATGCTTTCCCCTTTTTCTCTCAGTAATTTACTGTTTTAGTTCATAAATATTAACTACAAACCTATTCCAACAGAGAGACATGCCTAGCACAGTGCCTGGCATATAGTAGGTGCTCAGTTCACTCACTGAATCAATATCGTCTCGAGAGTATTAAGATAGGGCTGAACAGATGTTTTGTGAGAACTCAGAGGAGGACATTAACCCAGAGATTTAAGAAAGAGTTTTTTTTTTTTGAGACGGAGTTGCTCTGTTTCCCAGACTGGAGTGCGGTGACACAACCTCGGCTCACTGCAACCTCTGCCTCCCAGGTTCAAGTGATTCTTGTGCCTCAGCCTCCTGAGTAGCTGGGATTATACACATGTGCCACTATGCCCGGCTAATTTTTGTATTTTTAGTAGAGACGAGGTTTCACCATGTTGGCCAGGCTGGTCTCGATCTCCTGACCTTGTGATCCACCTGCCTTGGCCTCCCAAAGTGCTGGGATTACAGGCGTGAGCCACCACACTCTGCCAGAAAGACTTCTTTTTTTTCTTTTTTTGAGACAGAGTCTCACTCGGTCACCAGGCGCCAGCAGGCTGGAGTGCAGTGGCGTGACATTGGCTCATTGCAACCTCCGCCTCCTGGGTTCAGGCAATTCTTCTGCCTCAGCCTCCTGAGTAGCTGGGACTACAGGCACATGCCACCACACCCAGCTAATTTTTTTGTATTTTTAGTAGAGACGGGGTTTCACCATGTTGGCCAGGATGGTTTCGATCTCTTGACCTCGTGATCCACCTGCCTCGGCCTCCCAAAGTGCTGAGATTACAGGCGTGAGCCACCGCGCCTGGCCCAGAAAGACTTCTTATGAGTTGTGACCCCAGAGCTAAGAGTTGGAAAAGGTGAGGCATCGCTATTCCTCCTCCTCAGGGCCTCAGTGAGTGGGTTCCTATTTTCTCAATCAGTAAATAAGCTCTCCTTTCTTCCCTGGAGTGAGCCCCACTCACAGCCCTAGACAGTGCTCCGGTTTTGTGAGCCACTGTATGGGCCTCCATCCCCTTGCTCAGTGAGTGCGTTGGCCTTCCCTCCAGGGAGTGAATAACCCGAGACAAGATATCTTTTGTTGGTAGAGCAGAGCCCCTTCCCACAGCCACCTCTCTCCTGACCAGTCCCTCCCTTCTCCAGGGTTACCTTCCCCCAACCAAGAATGGGGCTGAGCCCAAGAGGCCCAGCCGCCCCATCAACATCACACCCCTGGCTCGACTCTCAGCCACTGTTCCCAACACTATTGTGGTCAATTGGTCATCTGAGTTCGGACGGGTGAGCACAGCTACAGCAGGGTGCCTGGAAAGCCTGCTGGGGGCGAGGGGAACCATCCAGTGTCCTGGGTTGGGGAAGCATCTTCCTCTTTCTGTGTGTGTCTCTGGTCCTCATGGAACAAAGGTGGGCAGTGGTGGTATGAGAAATAGAGGCTAATTGTCTTCCCCCTACTTCCAAGTAGAATTACTCCTTGTCTGTGTACCTGGTGAGGCAGTTGACTGCAGGGACCCTTCTACAGAAACTCAGAGCAAAGGGTATCCGGAACCCAGATCACTCGAGAGCACTCAGTGAGTAATGTCTTCCCCTCTTCCCCGCCTGATCTGCCTCCGAGTCTTCCTGGCCCTGCAGCTTTCATAATGAAACCCACACCTCTTTTTGTACACGCCTCATCAGTCTTCCAGTCTTTGTAGTTGAAGTTGAACCACTCCCAGGCAGTGAGTGACACGCTTGCATTTCCAGTGATGTAGCTGCTTTGCACCTCACAGTCCCTAACTGCAGCCGTGCTAGAATGTGGGCTCTCTGGACTGGGAAGAATCTTTGAGATCCTCTAATCTAACCCTCACATGATCCTTCAAGTCCTGCAGGTCACCTCTTAACGTAGCGTGAGTGTCACACAACTATGTTTAAGCCTCTTCAGGGATGGCAAATCTCACACACCCAGCGTTAATAATCCATATCCCAGACCACTCCTGTGTGATGTCCCGCTGGCCCTCAAAACTCTTCACCCAGCAGCCTCTCAGCCAGAGCCATCTGCTCCTGGCCCTACCAACTCCTGGGCTTCCTCCAGCCTTGCTGACCCCATGGCTCTGGCCTCACTTTTGTTTCAGTCAAGGAGAAATTGACTGCTGACCCTGACAGTGAGGTGGCCACTACGAGTCTCCGGGTGTCACTCATGTGCCCGGTGGGTAAAAGGGGAGAAGAGAATGGGGTGGGAAGGGAGTTGGGTTTAGCTTGTGGACTTTGATGAGGGTTCCTAGGGATACTGGGATGAAACCAGAGTGGAGCCTCTGACTAGAGAACTTGCCTCTCCTCAGCTAGGGAAGATGCGTCTGACTGTCCCTTGTCGTGCCCTCACCTGCGCCCACCTGCAGAGTTTCGATGCTGCCCTTTATCTACAGATGAATGAGAAGAAGCCAACATGGACATGTCCTGTGTGTGACAAGAAGGCTCCCTATGAATCTCTTATCATTGATGGGTAGGCCATTTTACTTCCTCTTACCTAGGACATTCACTAGGACCCCCTTTTCTTAGTTCTTTCTTTTTTTGTGTGTGATTGAGTCTTGTTCTCTTGCCCAGGTTGGAGTGCAGTGGTGCGATCTTGGCTCATTGCAACCTCTGCCTTCAGGGTTCAAGTGATTCTCTGCCTCAGCCTCCTGAGTAGCTAGGACTATAGGCACGCACCAGCATGCCTGGCTAATTTTTGTATTTTTAGTAGAGATGGGATTTTACCATGTTGGTCAGGCTGGTCTCATCAAACTTCTAACCTCAGGTGATCCACCCACCTCAGCCTCCCAAAGTGCTGGGATTACAGGCGTGAGCCACCATGCCCAGCCTATATTTCTTTTTTCCTTTAGCCGCCACCTCCTTCAGGGTTTTAGGACCCCTTTTTAATGTGTATGACTTACTTCCCTCACATGAACCCCAGTTCTCACCTTATCTCCTTATCTATCCCTTTTACCAATTCGTGTGTGTGTTTATGTCCGTGTGTGTGGAGTGGGAGGGCAACATTAAGGACTTAGTATATTCAAGGCATCTTACTGAGCACTGTGCATGGAATCCCCTCAGTAACCCTATGGATTGGGTGCAGTGGTTCCCACCTGTAATCCCAACACTGGAAGGCTGAGATGGGAAGATCATTTGAGGCTAGGAGTTTGAGACCAGCCTGGGCAACACAGTAAGACTCTCTCTATATAAAAACATTTTAGCCGGGCACGGTGGCTCACGCCTGTAATCCTAGCACTTTGGGAGGCCGAGGTGGGTGGATCACCTGAGGTCAGGAGTTCAAGACCAGTCTGGCCATCATGGTGAAACCCCATCTTATTAAATAAATAAATAAATAAATAAAAACATTTAAAAAATTAGCCAGGCATGATATAATAGTTCATGACTGTAGTCTTAGCTGCTCAGGAGACTGAGGCGGGAGGATGGCTTCAACTCAAGAGTTTGAGACTGCAGTGAGCTATGATTGCATTACGACACCTCAGCCTGGGCAACAGATTGAGACCCTATCTCAAAAAAAGAAATAACCCTATGATTGGCTAGTGACACTCACCCAGAAAAAAAAAAAAAAAAAAAAAAAAACCCGTGAAATAGGTAGTATCATTACAGAGGAGGAAACTGAGGCCTTGAGATTGAGTCTTGCTCAAGGTTAGATTGTTAAGTGGCGGAGTCAGTGTACTGAACTGTCATAATAGATCACCTGTAACAACTACCTGAGTTCCCACTGAGCCTTGCAATAAGGTTCTTTTGAGGGCCTGGATGTTCTGATCTTTTGCTCTAGCTAGTCTTTTATTATTATTATTATTTATTTTTTAATTTTTAAGACAGGGTCTCACCATGTTGGTCAGGCTGGTCTTGAACTCTCGACATCAGGTGGTCCACCCGCCTTGGCCTTCAAAGTGCTTGGATTACAGGCGTGAGCCACCACGCCTGGCCTACCCTAGCTAGTCGTAACCCCTTTCAGAATCTACACTATGGTTCTTGTTCCCAGTCTCCCCTGCCCCAGGTTTTTTGTTTTTGTTTTTTGTTTTTTTTGAGACAGGGTCTCACTCTGTTGCCCAGGGTGGAGTACAGTGGTGTGATCATAGTTCACTGTAGCCTTGACCTTCTGGCCTCAAGTGATCCTCTCACCTTGGCCTCCCAAAGTGCTGGGATTACAGGCATGAGCTGCCACACCTGGCCCTTAGTGCCTTTATTTATTTATTCTTACACAAATGTGTAGAAAGCCAAAGACCCAGTGCCTTCTGGAGATGGTTTATGGACTTCTGTCTCTCTGTTCCTTTTGTTCCTTGTACTACACGTAAGTACTCAGATTTCTCTTTGAGACGGAGTTTCATTCTCACCCAGGCTGGACTGCAATGGCATGATCTTGGCTCACTGCAACCTCCGCCTCCTGGGTTCAAGGGATCCTCTTGCCTTAGCCTTCCCAGTAGCTTGGGATTACAGGCACGTGCCGTCACACCTGGCTAATTTTGTATTTTTAGTAGAGATGGGGTTTCACCATGTTGGCCAGGCTCGTCTCAAACTCCTGACGTCAGGTGATCCACCCGCCTTGGCTTCTGAAAGTGGGATTACAGGAGTGAACCACTGCACCGACATTTTTTTTTTTTTTTTTTTTTAGGCAGAACCTTGCTCTGTTGCCCAGGCTGGAGAACAGTGGTGTGATCTTGGCTCACTGCAATCTCTGCCTCCTGGGTTTAAGCGATTTTCATGCCTCAGTCTCCCGAGTAGCTGGGATTATAAGCATGTGCCACCACACCTGGCTAATTTTTGTATTTTTAGTAGAGATGAGGTTTCACCATGTTGGCTAGGCTGGTCTCAAACTCCCAGCCTCAAGTGATTCACCCACCTCTACCTCCCAAAGTGCTGGGATTACAGGTGTGAGTCACTCACCTGGCCTCAGATTGTATTTATTTTAAAACCTACTACTTGGCTTCTGGAGGGGGAAGAAAAAGGAAAAAAAAACCTACTACTTAGTTTGTAAAACTCTTTTACATACCTTCTGTTATTTGATTCCAGCAACTCAGAGAGGTTCAATAGGATGGATAGTGTCCTTATTTTACAGATGAGGAAACTGAGGTACAGGAAGGTGAGTCACAGAACTCTCTGGCTACTGTTCCAAGAATTTTCATCTCTCTCCTCCCCCAGTTTATTTATGGAGATTCTTAGTTCCTGTTCAGATTGTGATGAGATCCAGTTCATGGAAGATGGATCCTGGTGCCCAATGAAACCCAAGAAGGAGGCATCTGAGGTTTGCCCCCCGCCAGGGTATGGGCTGGATGGTGAGTGAACCCCTGTTCCCCAGCTGAGCTAAATCTTGGATGACCTCTTCTCTGAGACATAGTCTTCTTACTACCCGCAGGCCTCCAGTACAGCCCAGTCCAGGAGGGAAATCCATCAGAGAATAAGAAAAAGGTCGAAGTAATTGACTTGACAATAGAAAGCTCATCAGATGAGGAGGATCTGCCCCCAACCAAGAAGCACTGTTCTGTCACCTCAGCTGTCATCCCAGCCCTACCTGGAAGCAAAGGGTAGGAGAAAATTGGCTGAATCTACAACAAAAGGGACAGGGGAAGAAGTCAGAAATGCTTTCCGATCATCGGACCCTGGGGCAAGGGACATGTGGAGGGGACAGAGGGAACCTGGGGACCTGAGCTGGGTGAGGGCCTCTGTGGTTTGCTGGCTGCCTCAGCTCCTCTCTACCCACAGAGTCCTGACACCTGGCCACCAGCCATCCTCGGTGCTAAGGAGCCCTGCCATGGGCACGTTGGGTGGGGATTTCCTGTCCAGTCTCCCACTCCATGAGTACCCACCTGCCTTCCCACTGGGAGCCGACATCCAAGGTATGACCTGGATCATCAGATGGGCCCTACACTGCCACACCCTCTCCAGAGCCGCATCGGAACCCCTGTTCCTTCTCAGTGCCTCCTGCTTCTCCTTGCAGGGGGCCACAATCCAAGTGCTTTGTCTCTTGGGGGTCAAGGGGTCAGGCAGGAGGTTGATTTTGATTTTTCTTTTCCTGCCAGGTTTAGATTTATTTTCATTTCTTCAGACAGAGAGTCAGGTAAGTGTTCTTTCTTCAGAAGGTCTCAGATCTCTGAAGCGTCCTTTCTAGGCGCCGATGGGACCCTTCCATCTCTTAGGATCTCTGGGGGTGTAAATCTGCTCTTCTATGAGGAAAGTGGGGTGTTGGTAGCTGATTTCCCTCCTCAGCACCACTGGTAGTTCCTGGGATTCCTACACAGGCCTTCCTAGATCCCATTACTGTTCTGCCCTGGCCTGCTCACCCCCACCCGCCCCCGTGTGCACTTGGAGCACCATGCCTGCCCTAACCGGACATTCCACACATTTCAGACGCCCACAAAGCCAAGAACCTAGCAAGCTGGAGGAGCTCTCTCAAGGCAGGGAAAAGGGTAGGGTGTGGGGAAGTGGGAGTAAGAAGGAGAGGACGAGATCTTAAACTACACCCTTGATTCTTCCTAGCACTATGGCCCCTCCGTCATCACCTCACTAGATGAACAGGATGCCCTTGGCCACTTCTTCCAGTACCGAGGGACCCCTGCTCACTTTCTGGGCCCACTGGCCCCCACGTTGGGGAGCTCCCACCGCAGCGCCACTCCGGCGCCCCCTCCTGGCCGTGTCAGCAGCATTGTGGCCCCTGGGGGGTCCTTGAGGGAGGGGCATGGAGGACCCCTGCCTTCAGGTCCCTCTTTGACTGGCTGTCGGTCAGACATCATTTCCCTGGACTGAGTTCCTTGGATTATGGAAACTTCACTGTCCGCCAACACGGAGCAGGTAGGCTGTGGAGTCCCAACCCTGGCTACTCTGATCCCTCTGGGGGTTCCAGCCAGGGGCCAGACAGACCTTCACAGATGCCTACTTTTGGCCTCATCTCTGCCTGATGAGGCGAGCACCCAAAGGGTTAATATTTAACCTCTTTTTAAGGACACTGGGGTCTGTTTTGGAAATGTTCTTTAGATGGTGGCCATTCCTCTGGGTATGTTAACCTAGGCAGTGGGGGGCAAATGGGATGGGATGTGAGCTGGGAGCAGGCCTGAACCCCCAGCCTTGACTGTGTCTGGAGCCTCCTGGGGAAGGGGCCCCTCTCTTCTTACCCCCAAGCCCATGGCTCTATTACTGCCTCATGTCCATTGTCTCTTCATGTCCATTCCGTTCCCTTCGGCCACAGACAGGTGGAAACACTGAGACAGGCAGTTTCAGAGATGGACAAAGAACTTTATTTTGGATTGTGGATGTGGATTTTTTTGTACATAAATAAGAAAAACCAAAATACTCCAAAGATGACTTCCCCTGCCTCCTGCTTCCAGTATGACTGAGGAGGATGTAAGGCCTTAGCCATGATCCCCAGGGGTTTGGGAGTAGGGCCTGGCCTGTTGCCTGGGTCCCTCTCTATTTATATATTTAAATTCACAGTGTTTCTTATGCCAGCCTGAGCTAGAGGCCCATGGCCCTGTGGTTAGGCCCGGCTCATTCTGCACCTTTCCAGGGAGGTGGAAGGACATGGTGCCCTCCTTCCCACTCTTTTTCAGGCTCGTCTACGGCCTAAGACCTATGTTGTAATTTTACTTTTTATTCCCAAAGTTGTAGTGAAGCTCTCACCATAATAAAGGTTGTGAATGTTCTGTGAGTGTCACGGAGATGGGCGAGGGAGGGGATTTTACACTTCTCTTTCCAGATCCCCGGTTTGGGGGAAGAAGGTCCATGTTCCATTCTTCCTTTGCTGGCCCTGGGTCCAGGTGAGCTCCACTTTCACGTGGTGGGGGTGTTTCAAGGAGGAATTCCAAGAGAGGTTGTCCTTTCTCCCTTCCTCTCCCCCATGCCTGTAAAATCTAGACCATTCTACCCAGTACCGTGGAGCTCTCCAGTCCTTTTTCACTTTCGCCTGCCCAGATGATGCAGCCAGAGCCCGAGGGCAAACTTGGTTCCAGTGCTGACCCTCTCCTCGTCCTCTGCCGTGGGTGGGATCATCCGCAGCAGGGTGGACATGGGCAGAACCAGAGGCCAGGCGCTCCCATCCTCCTCTACTTCCACAGCACTACATAGTGACAACTCCTGTGGGGACTGTGCCTTGTAGCTCACAAAGAACTTACATATTTGTTAGGTCCTCAAATCCTCCCAACCACCACAGGAGGTGGGTGGCTGCTGACCTCATTTGCAGAAGGGAAACGGGATCAAGGAGGGTTAAATGACTTGCCCCTGTGTTAGAACTCACAGACCTTCAGTGCTAGCCAGTTAGAGCAAGGATCCTTGGGGTTTGATGGTCACTGTCTTTGATTTCATGTGCCCTCTAAATTATCAGCTGACCCCCTCTCCTTAAATCTCCCCCACACCACAAAATTCCATCCTGAGGAGAGGATGGATGCTGAACTTCTCAATGTGAATATGTTGGTGTATTGGCCCGTGAGGGAGAAGCTCTTACTTACAGGACAGAGGGTGGTAGGTCCTCCGGGAGAAGTCTGGATGTCTCTGTCCCATCCTCTGTGGCAGCCACTGCAGCAGCTACATCTGATGTCAGCCACATAAGGGCACTTACCTCACTTGGATTTGGTTGGATCCGGGCCTGGGGTCAGATATGTTGACCACTCAGTCATGGCCTCTCCTTGGGAGGCCTGTTTATGATCAAAACCTACCCACAGGTGACATGGAGAAAGGCAGGGGCAAGGGGAAAGGTACTTCATTATCTCTGACCACCACCCGCCCAGCCGCCAATCACTGTCAGAACCAGGTTGCTTGGGCTCCCCTGAGCCCTGTTTCCTTCGCTCATTGCCAGCCCTACCTGCAGCTGCTGCTGTGATTCCTGGGAGATCACGAGTAGATACAGAACAATGTGGTGGTATTTGGGTAAACCCCAGCTCAGCCTAGGAGGGTAGGCAGACTAGGAAAAGAAAACAGCAAAAGTGAGAACTTTCTGTCACTTTTTTTTTTTCTTGAGACGGAGTTTCCAGGCTGGAGTGCAGTGGTGCAATCTCGGCTCACTGCGACCTCCACCTCCTGGGTTCAGGCTATTCTTCAGCCTCAGCCTTAGCCTCCCAAGTAGCTTGGATTACAGGCATGCACCAGCATGCCCAGCTAATTTTTGTATTTTTAGTAGAGATGGGGTTTCGACAGCATTGGCCAGGCTGGTCTCGAACTTCTGACCTCAGGTGATCTGCCCAACTCAGTCTCCCAAAGTACTGGAATAACAGCCGTGAGCCACTATGCCCAGCCCTGTCTTCACGTTTTAAGACTTTGCTAATACAGCTTTAGGGTGAAACAAAATGGTGGCTAAAAGCTGAGGGCATGGATGGTACAGATGACACAGCAGGGACACGGGTGACAGTTATGGATTTGGGGACTCCAACCCACTTATGTGCCATTGTTTGCTTTGTAGCCAAGGCAGGTAGAGGTTGATCTATGGACTTTGGTGGGTAGCTGTTGAGGTCTCTTGGTTAACTATGGAGGGGCTTCTCCCAGCTCCTTGTCTCACCTCCCATAACCCCAAAGGGACCCAAGAGAACTGGCCCTGGGGCAGATGTAGTCCAGTCTCCTCCCAAAGTTCTCGAAGCCCTCCATCCAGCAGCTGGGAGTCAGAGAGGACACATCAGAGTGGCCAGTGCCTGACTCCTCCGGGTCCTTTTGCTTGCCCCTTACTCAGCCCACACCCAAGGTGGTCCCAGGCATTGGTCTTTTGGCTCAGGTCGGATCGGCTGACTGGTTACCTCTTCCTCAGGTTCCACCTGCCCACCTGCAACAACAGTGGGACCCATAGGTAATAATGGTGGCGGTCTTGACCGGGGACCCCCACTCACTGTTTACACTCCTCTGCCCTCTGGTGGACACAGGTGGAGCTGCAGTCACTGTGACTATGAACATGCCACATTTTGGGGCCCACTTTATCCTTGAGGCTGGGAAAAGCATTGTGGGGAAAAAGGGCAAGTTTCTTTCCTGTACGTGGGGCCTCGTCCTCAGAATACTCACCGGGGGGTACCCAGAGGTTGGGGGAAACGCTGAGGGTGCGTGTCCTTCTGGTCAGCAAGACAGTCTGGTCACTGGATTGCAGAATGACGGCCACACCCAGGTCCACACCTCGATTCGTGGGCAGCTTGGCCACAGGGTCCCTGGGCTGCTGGTCCAGGACCGCAAAAGGGCAGAAAGGGGGTCGCTGGTGGAAGGAAGCCAGCTGGGTTAAGGCTTCAGAAGCGGGGTTGGCAGCGGGCGTGCGTGACTTGCAAAAAGGGGGCTACACCACGCGTTGGGGGCGGGATCCTCTGGCCGCCAGTTCCCCCCCCCGATTTCAGTCCCCATTCTCGGCCCTTCACTGCCCGCTCCTCTGGGGCCCCCTGCTGCCGACCTGGAGCGGAAGCCTGGCGGAGGCGCCCGGGAAGGGCCTGCTGGAGAGGACGAGCCGTCCTCGCTTCAAGCTGCAGTGAATGGGCCACGGCCCGAGCCCTGGCCTGGCTCGCAGGAGGCCGCACACACTCCGTGCGAAGCTCGCCGACTCCGGACGCCCGGACAGGAGCAGCTGCACCCGCGCCGCGGCCATAACGCGACTCCGGGGTCGCTGCGGCCCGCCTGGCGCCCTCTGGTGGCCCAGCGACGCTTCCCGCCGAGCGTTCCGCGGGGTCGGAAGGAAACGGGGTTTCCGGAAGTCCCCGGGAAATACAGGCACAGCTTTTGGGGATGACCCATGGGTATAATGTTAAGCCACAAGGAAGAACACCTCTCAATGCTCAGCTGTTTCCCTCCTATCTTCTCTGTTCAGGACAATGACCCCCAGACCGAATGGCTTCGGGACTCACAAGTTACTTCCTACAGCCCTCAGCTGAACTGTGAGCGCCCTCCGCAGCACTGTGCACACCTGTTACAGCAGGCAGCACCTCGAATTAATTACCTCCAAGCGAAACACGCCAAATAACATTTTTGATGCCACCTCTCCTTTCATTTCACTCAAATGGCAACCAAGTGCGCAGATGTTACCTCCTCCAACTCCCTCAAACCTAGGTTCTCTCCAGCCTTCATTCATTGCCCCAGTTTCAGCCTTCATCATATTTTGCCTGAAATATTGTTGCAAGTCCCCAAACAGTCCTCCCTCTACCAATTCATTCTCTACAGTGCTGCCAGAGTGACATTTTGTTTTGTTTTGTTTTGAGGTAAAGTCTGGCTCTGTCACCCAGGCTGGGGTGCATGGGCGTGATCCCGGCTCACTGCAACCTTCACCTCCCAGGTTGAAGCGATTCTTGTGCTTTAGACTCCCAGGTAGCTGAGATTACAGGGGTGCACCACCAGGCTCGGCTAATTTTTTGTGTTTTTAGTAGAGACAGGGTTTTGCCATGTTGGCCAGGCTGGTCTTGAACTCCTGACCTCAGGTGATCCACCCACCTTGTCCTCCCAAAGTGCTAGGATTCCAGGCATGAACCACCGCACCTGACCACAGTCATGTTTCTAAAACACCTAACTGATTATATTGCTTCCCACTGCTTTTAGGACAAACTCTTTAGCACAGCATGGCCAGAACCCACCAGTTCCTTGTTCCTTCCTGTCTCTAGCCTCAATTCTGACAGACTGATCTGTGCCCTATTTTCGAATGCCCTGTTTGTAGTTTCCCCAAGAAACTGACTGCTCTGGGATTCTTTCCTCATTTACCTGGAAAGTCCTAATTTTAAAAAATTGGTATTTTTAAATTAATACATAACAGATGTACATGTGAGAATTTGATACATTCCTATAATCAAACCAGGGTAATTCATATATCTATCACCTTAAATCTTTATACTAGGGACATTCGATTTATTTTTTGTTTTATTTATTTTTGAGACTGAATATTACTGTTGTTGCCCAGGCTGGAGTGCAGTGGCGTGATCTTAGCTCACTGCAACCTCTGCCTTCCAGATTCAAGCAATTCTCCCGCTTAAGCCTCCCAAGTAGCTGGGATTACGGGTGCCAACCATCATGCCTGGCTTTTTGTATTTTTAGTAGAGATGGGCTTTCGTCATGTTGGCCAGGCTGGTCTTAAATTCCTGACCTCACTCAGGTAAGCCACCTGCCTTGGCCTCCAAAAGTGTTGGGATTATAGGCGTGAGCCACCACGCCCGGCCTAAAGTATTATTTTTATTTTTGAGATAAAGTCTTGCTCTGTCACCCAGATTGGAGTGCAGTGGCATGATCTCTGCTCACTGCAACCTCTACCTCCTGGATTCAAGCAATTCTCCTGCCTCAGCCTCCCAAGTAGCTGGGACCGCAGGTGAGTGTCACCACGCCTGGCTAATTTTTGTATTTTTAGTAGACACAGGGTTTCACCATGTTTGTCAGGCTTGTCTTGAACTCCTGACCTTGTGATCCACCCACCTTGGCCTCCCAAAGTGTTGGGATTACAGGCGTGAGCCACTACACCTGGCCTATTTTTAATTACGTATATTTCAGAGACAGAGTCTTGCTCTGTTATCCAGACTGAAGTACAGTGGTGTGGTGATAGCTCACTGCAGCCTCAAACTCCTGGGCTCAAGAGATCCTCTTGCCTCAGCCTCCTGAGTAACTAGAATTACAGGCGTGCCCTACTGCACCCAGCTAATTTTTAAATTTTTTGTAAAGATTAAATCTATGTTGCCCATGCTGTTCCTGAACTCCTGGCTTCAACTAATCTTCCCACCTTGGCCTCCCAATGTGTTGGGATTATCAGATTGAGCCACCGTCCAAATTATTCTCTTCTAGTTGTTTTGAAATGTACAGGAAATTAATAATGATGCCACCCTGCTGCTCTATCCAATTATCAGATCTTATTTCTTCCAACTGTATATTTGTGCCCATTATTCAACCTCTCTTCATTTTCCCCATCCTTCCTAGCCTCTGGTAACTACCAATCTACTATTTTATTTTTCCTTTTTTTTTTTTTTTTTT